CTTCTGTGGACTCTAGGAACCACAAGTAAACCTGCACTCTGAGAGCGAAGTGCTCTGTTGGGATGATAAGGCTCTATGAGGTCTTTAAGATACGATGGAGCCTTGTCATTAAGGGCTTTGTATGTTAGGAGAAAGATTTTAAATTCTGGATTTTACAGGGAGCCAGTGGAGAGAAGCTAATATGGGAGAAATATTATCTCTCTTGCTAGTTCCTGTCAGTACTCTGGCTGCAGCATTTTGGATTAACTGGAGGCTTTATAGGGGCTTAGTGGGATGTCCTGCATCACTTTGAGACAGGTTATTCCTGTTTTTGACAATATTGCACAAAGGAAAGAAGGCAGTTCTAGAGACTTTTTTATGTGTCATTTAAAGACATATCCTGGTCAAAGATGAGTCCAAGATTCCTCACAGTACTGGAGGACAAAGGGCTAGACTAACTATATGGTTAGTCTGGTTATATTTTTAACGTTTTCTTGCCAATAGCTTCTGTTTTGTTGGGGTTCAGAAGTAAGAAATTACAGGTCATCCAGGCCGTTATGTCTTTAAGACATGCTTGAATTTTGACCAACTGATCTGATTCATCATAGATAAATGAGTATCATCTGCATAGCAGTGTAAATTTATGCTGTGCTTCCTGATAATATTGCCTAAAGGGAGCATGTATAAAGTGAAGAGAATTGGACCTAACACAGAGCCCTGTGGAACGCCGTGACTAACTTCAGTTTGTGTGGAAGATTCATCATTAACATGAACAAATTGAAATCTTTCTGATAAATAAGATTTGAACCAACTTAGCGCAGTTCCTTTAATCCCAATAACATATTCAAGTCTCTGCAGTAAGATGCTTTGATCAATGGTGTCAAAAGCATCACTGAGATCTAAGAGGACAAGTATGGAGACAAGTCCTTTGTCTGAGGCTAGGAGAAGATCATTGGTGACTTTCACCAATGCAGTTTCTGTACTATGATGGACTCTAAAACCTGACTGAAAACCCTCAAACAAATCATTCTTGTGCAAGTGGTCACACAACTGCTTTGCAACAGCTTTTTCAAGGATTTTGGAAATAAATGGGAGATTGGATATTGGTCTATAATTAGCTAGGACACCTGGATCAAGAGTAGGCTTTCTGAGTAGAGGTTTAATTACTGCAAGTTTAAAAGCCTGTGGAACATAACCTGTTAATAGAGAGAGGTTAATCAGATCTATCAACTTAGAGAGATCTATGGGAGAGAAGTAGTCCAAGTATAAATGAGGTCTCACAGATGTTTCTAAAGCCATTGTAGTAGATGGCACATCTATGAAAGCTGTGGTAATGGTCCAACCAATTTTTTCTCTAATAGTTGTGATTTTATTTGTAAAGAAGCTCATGAAGTCATTGCTGCTGAGATCTAAGGGAATGTTGAGCTCAACAGCACTGTGGCTCTTTGCCAGCCTGGCTACAGTGCTGAAAAGAAACCTGGGGTTGTTCTTATTTTCCTCAGTCAGTGATGAATAAAATGTGGTTCCTACGAAGGGCTTTCATATATGTTATTAAACTATCTTTCCAGGCTATGAAAAACTCTTCTGACTTAGTGGAGCGCCACCTCCTTTCCAGTTTTTGTGATGCCTGTTTTAGGGAGTGGAGCTGCGAGCTGTACCACGGGGCTATCCTCCTCTGTTTCACTGCCTTCTTTTTCAGAGGGGCAACAGTATCAAGTGTCGTACACAGGGAGGCTGCAGCACTATCAACAAGATTATCGACTTGTGAGGGAGTAAATTTAAGGTGGCCTCCCACTAATATGTCTGAGTCTCAGTGGAACACAATTTACTTAATAGTAGAATTCATCCATCCACCCATATCTATACCACTTATCCTAATGAGGGTCACAGCAGGGCTGGAGCCAATCCCAGCTCACATTGGGCAAGAGGCGGGGTCCACCAACACTTGGAGACAGACAACCACAAACTCACACTCACTCCTAGTCAACCTAAGCTGCATGTCTTTGGACTGAGGGAGGTAGCCAGAGTACCTGGCGAGAACCCACGCAGGCACATGCAGACTCCACACAGAAAGGCCCCGGGTTGGCCGGGGCTTCTTGCTGTGAGGCAACAGCACTAATCACTCTGCCACCAAGCTGTCCACTGAATAGTAAAATTAAACTGATAAGTCTTTAAATTAAAAAAACAGCTGTAAAGAGGTGTTTTTACAAGGTGTTCAAATTAGTACTGTAATGAGGTTTTGGACCGTGTTTTCACAGGGAGGACTTTGACCAGGAAGAGAAGGCTCGTTTTGGAGAGCTGTGCAGTGGAGAGAATGGCAAAGGCAGGGAGTGGTTTGCCAAATATGTCAGCGCACAGGTAAATATGTGGAAATGATGAAGTGGTAACTTGTCAGATGTCATGTGTGACCTTTATGGGTAGTAAAAGCACTGTTCCGTGTGGACAGTTTTGAAAGAGTGGAGTCTGAATCCAAAAGATCTTCAGTGATTACCAGATGTTTCTGTATTCACAAACAATTGTCAAATTATAAACAGGATTACCTCATTTCTTTGTTTTGGGTGAAGTTAATGTTCCCTTTCTAATGAGTCCATTGTTTTTGGATGAAGCATCCCTTTTAATTAATAAAATTAGTTACACATTTTAGTGCAAAAAATCACATCAGTGCAGGATACCAAACTAAAACATCTCAAAATAAGCAATGGAGTCCTCAGAAATCTTTTCAGTCTATGACTTAAAAAAAAACAACCATGCATAACATAGTTGATATGTATTGTGAGCTTGTCTTTATACTAAGGTTGTAATGGTCTTTGTCATATTGTGTTCACAGCGCTGCCACTCTAAATGTGTGAGCGAAGCCACCTTCTATAGACTGGTGCAGTCTTTTGCAGTTGTACTGTTTGAGTGAGTATATGTGGTTGACTACCCATTTTCCCTGTAAAGGATAAGGTTGGTAATAATGTTTAACTTTGTTACTGTCAGAAATTTACATAAAAGTTAAAAATCTTTCCGAACTTCATGACTTGTCTGCCCTGTCTGCTTCTAGCCCATTGGTTTCCTTTGAAAACAGGTCACAGATGCATACTTTGCAAAGTACAGACAAAAATAAGTTACTGGAGGAAATCTGTTTAACTGTGGGCAGGACAGCCCTCTCCCCTCAGTTGCTAGTCGCATCGAGGCTTCTGTCTGACAAGCATGGACGCGTAGTTACTGTAGCAGCCCTCCCTGAATTCAGCTGAAGCTCTCACACTACTGTGTGTTCCTCTCTATGTTAAAGCTCACTTTTACCTAATGTTATGCTGTTGTGGCAGAGGTCTGCTGCAGCAGGTGCTCATGTTAGCTATATGTAGGCTATAGATAATGTAGCTAATGTTAGTGTTTGGAAGTAATTATTACACACAGACTATATATTATTCTTCAGTAAAGTTTGTAAAAAGTAATATCTCTGTTTTTTTAAATAAATAATCATCTGTATATGCTGTGTATCCTAAGATGAATTCTGTTGTATATTATTTGGGTATATTGTTGTGGGTGGCTGTGGCTCACGGGGTAGGGCAGTCGTCTCCTGACCAGCAAGTTGGTGGTTCGACTCCTGGTCTCCCCTGAGCAAGACACTGAACCCTGAATGGTGGCTTGACTAGCGCGGGTGTGTGGCAGCCTGTCGTCATCGGTGTGTGAATGGGTGAATGGTGTATGATCTCCTGTAAAGCGCTTTGGCCAGTGCAACACACTGTGAGAAAGCGCTATATAAAATACAGTCCATTTACCATTTGAATTGTTGAATACCATCTTGACAAAAGAATGTAAATGCAGTGATTTAAGTCTGTAAATCTCCGTACATTATTTTTACATACAGGATACATTCAGGTTACTGACCACTGAGAAAATATTCAGTACTTTAACTTAGGTAGTAGTTGTAGCTTTTCTACTCAGGTTTACACGGGGAAAGAAGTAAAGCATTTAAAGCATTTACACAGAAAAAAGGTTTCACAAATATGCAACAGTGTTTCAAATGCTCTTTAATCTCTATTTGATAATCTAATCCTGATTTGCCTAATCAGTAGTCTAGATGGAAGGGAAACATTATATACATTTTCTTTATTGTGTTTATTCATAACCTAAAGTTTTCACAAATTTGAAAGTGGGTTTCACTGAGTGTTAAGGGTTTTCCTAGAATGTCTAAAAGCCTTTCATTGTATCAGCTCATGAGCTGGGTGTTACCATGGCAATTGTTGACATTAAGAAAAATGTACAATGTCACCACAACATATCCTTTGAGTCAAAATGCCCCAGTAAATTAAATTCCATCAATGCTAGTACTAAGGTTGTGACATATCTGAAGAAATGGTGTTTTTACAGATGTTACCAGATGGATGACTACACCCCAGCCAAAAACCTCATGACTATGTGCTTCACATACTACTACATTGGTAAGGTCTAATGAACATTTTCACACTCTTTACCTGTCATGTATGTCACTTTAGAGGAACTTCCAACTTTTACAAAAACATAGCATATAGCTACCATTGCACAGATGTTAAAGAGCAACCAGCTCTTAGTTGTAAAGGAAAAGAAGACACAGCAAAAGAAATGCAGCTATGCATGTTTTGCACTCTTCAGTGCTGATTCAGTGTTAGCACCACAGGTTGGCCTTGTGGTTTCTCTTGCAGCAATAGCACAAACACATATGCAATGATTATGTAGGGCTGCAGGAAGGTAGTGTTAGTACCTGTGAAAGCAGGATGCCTAGCGTGATTAGTGCACCACTGTGGCACAGTACAGTGCATCAGCGTTTGTCTACAGTCAGGTTTGCTATGAGTTTTTTTTTTTCCCTCATACAAGTTAAACTGCACTACAGCCAACTTTGCTTGCAAAAGGTTTTCTTGCAAATGATGCATATGATAAACTGCAAAGAAACACACCTGATCCAAAGGAAGAGTCACTGTGCATGTTTATGGTTCTTTGTCTCAGGGACTAGAGGTCTATGAGCATCTGAAACTGAAATTATTGTTTTTATTTCCAACTCACTGACTTGCAGCTGGCTGAGGTGAAGCTAAGTGGTTCATCAAATTTCAGGCCCATTTTTTTCCTATATGCCACATGGTGTCTCTACTCTGAGGTTAATGTGGCTTCAGAAGCTTAACAGGTAGCATTGGGTAAAGTCTGTAAGGGGATGTCTATCATCTGTGCAGTTTCTGCGCTGCTTATCAACCTGACCAGTGTGTGATACCGCAGAGACACCAGGTAGTGAAAACATGGACATTTCAACAAATTTGCCTTGTGGAGCTTTAAAATATATAGAACAATATTTGATGATGTCGTTCAAAGATAGAAATCACCATTTTGACCTCTGCCCTCTTATTTAGGGAAGTCCCAGCCGTCCCCTTCAGAGCTACTGGATCGTGGTGGTCCTCCAGCTGGTCTGGACTCGTATCTCAACAAGGCCAACTCATGGTTGTCGGGAAAGAAGGATGCAGCTGAGCGCCTCCTTAAAAACACATCTAAAGCTGACGTTAAAGGCTTCTTTGGAGGCCTAGAGAGCAAACTGAGGAGTACAGTAGCTCCCAAGACTGAGTGAGCAAAAGCAGCTCCTCTTTTGAATTCTCTTCATTAACATAGTCATATATAGTTTTAACTCCTTACTCTTCCCTTCATCTTTTTCCATTGCTGTATTCTTTCTTCTAGAGATGGGGAGAGCCCAGTTGAGACCACATCCAAATCACCAGGTATAAGGTTACAAAAATCTCCTGCTCTACTCCTCTGTTAGATTTGTTTTAATATTGAATGTATCAATGCCAGTGTCTGTCACATTTTCTCTTCATCCACAGTGTCTGAGGCTCCAGAGGAGAAGAAAGGAGAAAAGGTGTACCTGTACGCCCACCTGAAGCAGCAACCCATCTGGTAAGTTGATCCATTGTCCCTGTGAGTAATCACATGTGGTCATTTCAGGGTAAAGGTTATCTCTGAAACCTTCGTACAGAGACTGCAGAAACCAAACAACAATGTCAGTTTTATAAACGACATTAAAATAGACCGTAGTGATGTGACGTTCAAGACTACAAGCCACCATAGTTTCAAGTTGATGACATCATCCAGGGTACTGGCGAGTTGCATAGCAACCAGTTACTATCCTTGTACAGTAGCTACTGTGCTCCCCATAAAAGTAAAATCTAAAATAAAAGTTTCATTTTCTTTAGCTGCTAAACACTCCACTGTTCATCGGCTGCTCTCTGACTTTGTCTGCCTGCCCCTAGGGTTTGGGCGGATGGTCTACAGCGGGTTTATTAGAGATCTTTTGCTGAAAACAGTTGCCTGGAAAAAGGTTTGATGAGGGAAGCTATACTTAGTGTGTGCTCCACTAGCAGGTTGCTACTATAACTTAACTGTTTTGTGATGGACAGGTAGCACACAATGGGCTTTTAGTGGGTTTTTGTTTTGTTTTTTGAAACCAGCTTCCTGCTGGATGCCATGAGAGTGAAGATAATTAAACATTTACCAGGCGTAAATCCAAAATAATAAACCAAAACAGTGCAAAAAGAGTTAAGAACAAAGGGGAACTGTTGATAATCCTCTGTGGGTTTATCACTGTTAGTGATATCGCTTTTTATATCATCGTTTCATAGAATAGGAAGTAGTGTGTGTAGCAGTTAGTTGTCAAGTTGAAGATTGTTAGAAGATTCTGAGTGTGCAGATTTACAGCAAAGTATGATATGTTACAGTATCACTGACTGTCATTTGCAGACTCATCTCTAGTGACTTTGTGAAAGATAGATAGAAATACTTTATTAATCCCAATCTGGGAAATTGCATAAAGTAGGTCAGGTGGAAACCTATAACATGTCATCTTTTCTATCTGTCAGGCATACACTAAGATTCTGGAATGCTGCTTTTTTTGATGCTGTTCATTGTGAGAGGACAAAAAGATCACCGACCACAAGGTCAGTCTGGATGGGAGTCGAGACACACGAACGAAACAATCACTACTTATTTATACTATATATTACAAAGTTGTATGGATTGTGGAGAAAATGTATCTTTAAAAAGCTGCAGTAAGTGGGCTGCTGCTCTCTGTGTGCTCCTGTGTCACTGTATCTGTTCGATGAATTATAAATAAAGGTTGGAGATCCATGGATGTACTGCTGACAAAGACATTTCACAGTGCTGTGCAACCTGCTTCAGCCTAGAGGTCTCCAATTTGGGCCCAGTCTAATTCAGAAGTGAATGATTTTTCTAAAATGAGATTCACAGTTCTCAAAACACACCAGATAAGGCATACAGTGCATACAGCCCATTTGGATCCACACAGGTCAGACATATTGACCCAACCCCATTCGACTGTACTGGTCAGACCCAGGTGGACCCATGAGGACTACAGCTTCAGCCTAAACCACTACTGCTCACAATGTCCTGATGCTCCACCTCTTCTCTTCTCTTCTCTTCTCCTCTCCTCTCCTCTCCTTTTCTCTACTCTACTCTACTCTACTCTACTCTTCTCTCTTCTTTTCTCCTCTCCTTTCCTCTCAGCTGTATTGTTCTCCCTGTTTCTGCATGTAGACTTTAACTCTTTGTCTCCTTGTGCCTTGCTGCCGGGCAGGGGAACGCAGGATGAAGAGAAAGACGAGAGGTCTGTCCTTCTATTTGTCCACTGCCCTAAAAGAAAAAAGTTAAACTAAGAGGCAAAGATCAGGCAAAGCCGATAGGAGGAGAAGGGTGGTGGCTGTCTTGGTGGCCCAGCTTAGCAGTTGTTTTGAAACAGTGGTTAAATCTGCAGGGATAGAGAGCTAGCTAAAAAGAAGGCTAGACAGTTATTGTGTGAGTTTTTTGTGGTGATAAGAAAAACAGCGTTTTCTGATGAGGTGTATTTTGTTATGTGAGAGCAACCAGCCAGTGTAAGGGCTGGTTAACTAGAAAGTGATGGTTTTATCAGAGGGAAGTTTTCACTAGTATAAATAACTGTTTGAGTCTCTTCAGTTAACTGTGTAAAGGTGGTGCACGGAGTTTATATGACTACATTAGGGCTTATTTTTTGTAATAATGTTAGTCACTGATAACCAACATCCTCAGTGGCAATTACATTGTTAAGAAGAAGCCTAAAGACCACCAGCACATAATTAACCACTGACTCGGCGAACTCAAGGAAACGCCAGAACTTTTACTTTGAAAATCATACGCCAAACCCTCAGTTCAAAAACAGTCAAACTGCACACAGGCCCATTAGCTTGAAGCATGCCACCAGAATGATCACATTGTTTTAATGATCATCATTTAATGAATTCATCAATTAAATAGAAATACCTGTTTAATTAAAGAGGCCTCAAGCCCCTCGAGGCATATTTGTGATTTGTGGTATTGGGCTCTACAAATAAAAACTGACTTGACTTGAAGTCTGTCTTTAAATCAAAGTGATCACAAGACAGTACCCCAGCTAGCCAAGTGGTTTCAGTGGGCACCCAGGTACGTCTGCACATTTGTGTGCATGATGTCTGTGGTATAACCACGTCACGTCTCCCGCTCCAGTCTTTCTCACCCTGCTTTCCTGACTGTCTATACTGTGCTATCAACAAAGGCCCAAAAACATAAAAAGTGATCACAAAATGGAAACAAGAAACTTTAAAGCAGGATATAAATGAATGTTGAGACTGAATACTGCAACTAAAAAATGCTCATGAAGATTTAATGACAAGTTCACTCATTATTTCACCTTTTAAAGACAATAAAGAAACGAGTTAATAAGCAACGTTGATCATGTTAGTATTCATGTATTTTTAGTTGGAGTTTATTATTTCTTGTATACATCTTTTTAAAGCTTTGATTGATCAATTTCTAGCCTTTAAAAGTGTGTCAGGGTAATAGTTTACAGCCTGTAATCATTTGGAGGCATGCGAAGTAGCCAAGATGGATGACCATCCAATAGGATCATCTCTGACAGGTGTGACACTGAGAATCAGTCCAACAGAGAAAACATCTAGTCCACAAAGAAGATACTGACAGAAACTGCAAGGGGGTTAATGTAAGAGCAGCTTGATGTTTAGCTTTGTTTAGCTGTTGTGAAGTGTGAGGCTCGAGGTCTGGGAGTCACCCTGGGTCTGATTTGCAGCTTGTGAGATGAACTTTAGTGGTAGGGTAGTCACTAATGGTAAATCCCTAGACTGTATGACTGTAGTCTAGTCTTAGACCATGTTGTGTAATTAACCACAGCAAGAATTACAAGTGGGTAGTGGTTTTACTTGTAACTACAACAGGATTTCTGTGTTTGTGCAATGTGTTTTTAGAGTGTGCTCTATTTTGAATTCTTAATTTGTTTCTTTCTGGATATTGCTGCACTTAAAAAAATCTTTCTTCATCTGGCTTCTGTTGTCATGTGGTTGTCGTCACGCAGTAGGTGATGTGATTCACCTTGGTGTTCCTTCATGCTGCTGTCAGAACCTACTGTTGATGAGTAAAAGCACACCCACAGTTGAACGTGTAGATTGTGGGATGGTATTTCTATCTGAAGCAGGGCAGAGGCACCAGATCCACTGCAGTCTGAGGGCGTTCAGTCTCTTTACAGCTCGCTGCATGTTCACACCTGGAGTCTCTTTGCATGTGATAATTCCTCTCCCTCCATCTGCATGTTCACTTTGCTGTCTGTGTTCACCAGCTTTGCACACACCTGTTTCCACTGCAGATTGATTGCAGAAATATTCTGTGCACACCTTTAAAATGAGTGAACACAACATTTGCTGGTATCCCATATTGCATGTTTGGACAGTTTAAATGCTTGAAGAATTGTTCTTTATTTCTACCCAGACCTTACCAAACAGACTGTGGGTAATGTGATGTTGAGATATTTACTGAGGATCAGCAGCAGAGTACAAAACAAACAGTGGCCTATTTACACATCCACCAGACACAGGGGGCGCAGGCCTCTGTTTTGGTCTTAACCGACTCCTGAGGGAAATACCTGACTCTATAGCTGCTACATCCATCACTGCTTTTGCCAGCTAATGTTACATTTGTCTGTGTGCTGTTTGATTCTGGGCAGGTAGTGGAGAGGGGTGGGTACTGGAAATGAGATTAATGGGAGAGAACCAGTGTGCTTAAAAAAAAAAAAAAAAGGTAAAATGCTTTGTACAGCTAAGGGGAACGCGGTAACATGAAATAATTTAAGTGCAGCTTCAATATGAAAGAAACCTCTCGCCTACACGTTCACTTTTCATGTCAGCTCCTCTGAGGCATCGGTCAAAGAGCCAACATGATAAAAGCAGACACTGCAGATGGTATGGAAGAAGGTGGGACAAACAAGAAAGAGTTGATCACAATGAGCCACAGGTGGTTTAGACTAGCTCAGAGAATTTCTGTCTATTGATTTGAGGCTATAGGTTTTGAAGATTCACTAAGTAAATTAGAAGCGATACTGTTTATACAGTCCTTAATGTTTTATATACAAATTTCACCTTTGTATAAAAATCTGAACTTTAACCTTTTTGTATTGAAACGGGGTATGTTAAATAACAGGTTTAGAATCCAGCATCAATTATACCAGTTAAATAGCTTTCTACTCTCCATCACTGTCCTTCGAGGATTACAATACAATGCAATACTATACAATGTCCACAGTACACATGTACAGTGGGTAAATTAAGTATTGAACACGTCACCATTTTTCTCAGTAAATATTTTTCTAAAGGTGCTGTTGACATGAAATTTTCACCAGATGTCGGTAACAACCCATGTAATCAATACATACAAAGAAAACAACTATACAGTACAAATACAAATACAAATGAATACAAATACAGTGAGGAACAGAGGTATTTGAAGACCCTGCGATTTTGCAAGTTCTCCCACTTAGAAATCATGGAGGGGTCTGAAATTCACATTGTAGGTGCATTCCCACTCTGAGAGACAGAAT